TAAGTACCAGGATTATAATCTGCAATATGCTGGAGCATCTTGAGCCAATGCAACGAGCACAATGACAAAAGCATCTTTTCATCGATTTCTAAATAAATGTTTCATTTGGAATCGCCTACGTAATTATTACGAGTGTAAATAATGTTATTATTGGCTTTGGCTCGACATGTGCTAGCGACTACGAATTAAGTCCTGTTCATAGATCATTTTTTGTTCATATAATAATTTGCCATGTCAAATATAAGATGAGAGATTAAATATTTGCTCAAATTAATGATAATACGGCGTATTTGACATAACTGTATCTGCAGTACCCGATTTATCTATCAATCCAATCTTTTCAACGTATTTTTCATCAAAAATATCTAAGAAAAAATATCAAAAATATAAAGAAATTATCTCTGTCTGTACACGATTATTTAATAAATGATTTATAGGTTAGCGATACTTTTACACAACACTTGAAGGCACTTGGTCTATTAACCTTTAAAAATGTTTCCTTAATACAATTTTTCCCCATTTCTGCAATATATTTTATGAAATTCTACATCGAATGCCTTCAATAAAAATCCATTGCCTCATAATTTGATCTTGGAATTTTCATGTGGCAATATAAAAAATGCCATTGAACCTTGAGATGTAATTTGCGGCTCTTGTCTAAACGGAATTCCGTTCCCCTTAGATTTCACTTTTTCATTACTTCTATTGGTATATTATTTTTCATTGTGTAAATCGATCGTGAGGATGTGGTATTTTTGTGTGGCATATGTTTTATCCATTTCATGTACTCGATCCAGCAAAAGTTTTCGCTCTTCGCATACTCTCACTATCCGCCCGTAAGGGTATCTTCATTATTCAGTCGCTTTATTTCAAGCTTCTCTCATGCATTTCAGAAATATTAATAAAGATTATAAATTATTTCATTATTTCTAAACTATAATGATACCTCTAAAATTTTCTATTCGAATTATTGAAAAAGAAAATACGCACATTAATGGAGCCCGTATAATAAATATATTAAGCTCGTAATGTTAATAAATGCAGTATTATTATTAATAATAATAATGTGAAATTATATATACTAGAGTATAGTTGATTGAATATGATTTTAATAGAGTAACGATTTATAATACGTAAGTTTAATAACCTTTTTAGAAGAAAAAAAAAAAAAAAAAAAAAAAAAAAAAAGGAATTTTTTTCGTAATAAAAGAAATATACGACACTCTTAAACACTCATAAATGTTGTCGTATCGATAGCTTTAAGATACGTAATAATAATTATTCTTTTTATTCATAATAATTATCAATTGCATGTATGCTTTGATTCGTTATAGGATTAAATATTTTGATTGAACTAAATAGATGATCAACGATAACGTTAGCATACCAACTCTTTATTATACAATCTTTTAATATATATATATATAATTTCGATAATTTGTAATTTGTAATATAATTGTCGAAAATTAGTTTAGACACACCGCGACTGTGGAACCATCACCGAGCGACTTTATTGATTTCAAGAAACAGCATTGCATTATGTACGATGTGTTCATGAAACATGGTAAAGTGGAGCTAAACATATAAAGTGAATAACATTGATTTTAGTGACAAGAAATAATAAAAGATATGAAATCACTTTATAAAACCAATCGGTTTAGATGAAAGCAAGTGAATTCGACTTTTTACATTAGATTGTAAACAGTAATTAATTTTTAGGTTACATTTTGCTCACGGTAATGCTGCCGTACATGTCAATATTATGGAATAAAATTAACTCTTTTATTACGATATATTATTTATTATTTCAAATAATTCAATCATAACAAAAAATAATGGATAAACAAGCATAAAAATTATTATATCAAGCCGAGAACGAAGTTGTCGGACTATCATTTACGACAATATATATTCTTAAAAAACTTTACACACACATATATATATATATATATATATATATATATAGGTTGGGATAAAAAATAAAAGAAAAATAGAATAAATTCACTCCAACTAGCGATGAGTATTAAAATACCAACAGCCCTGAAAATAGAGATAAATTAGATTTGCTAGGTTAATCTTCTATTACGTAAAAAATAATTAAACGATAGCCGCGCTGATTCTTAACAACTTACCACATAATAATTGCTTACAATTTAAAAATTAATGCGAGATAAATAATAATTATTACTTGACCATGATTTTCATCATCGAGAAATGGAGATTCATTGCACCAAGTATAATCCCAACCGGACAAGAAAATCAACTAAATAATTTCATTCGAAGCTGGATTTATTCCTCGTGTATCGGGGCACTAAGTATGTCCAATGACAATAATTGCCTTAAGCGAAATTAAATTGTTTTACATGGTATTTTAATATCGTGTATTGAATATGACGCCGTGAGAAGTTGGTGAAAACTTCTCAAGTGCGGCATTGTGCTTAAAGATTAAAACATTATTACAAGGTCGTATCGATGATACCGATGTAATATTTCGAAAATATACGTGACACGTTCGCTCGGAAGGGCATGCGTAAATTAATGAAGGTAATGGAGAATGAACGATCGAAAGAGGGAGAGAAAGTAGATGATTATAATGGAAGTTACGAGTGGCGTCCAATTGGACGATCGAAGCCTTTCGGATATTAATAATAATACTACTTTGCCATTTATCGATTAAATGGAATAAAAACGAGCAAATTAATAATTGGGCGGGACGTAATGTTTCGTCGTAAATGCGTAATCCGACGTACCTGTTAGCAAGCCCATAAGGGATGACACATAATACATCGAACGTAGTCGAAGAAGAAGAAGAAGAAATGCAATTTGGAAAGAAGTCGTTTAACGCTCCGAGGTGAATCGCGCCATATGACAAGGACGTTAATGCCAGTGTCCGTGGCTTCTGCATCTTTCGCGAAAACCTTACGGACGACGCTGAATATATTTAGCCGTGAGTAAAAAGCTCGCTAATTGCCTCTTAATACATGGGAATTACGAGGACACGCGCCTGCCGATAAATCGCTGGGCCTTTAACGATTCCGCGTAGGGACAATATAACGGCCGCGAGGGACTCCCGGGGAAGACGGGGGAGGACCGCGGGAGAGGCGATTTATCAGGCGGCGGTGGCGGCAACGGTCGAAATCGCCCTCCCCAGAGTAGCAATAACTACGTACGAGTTGTTCCGTAAATCACCGGCTAATATGACGCAGCTGTCTCTTTGCTACCGTGGGTTGGCGTGTGCGCGTGCGTCGACGCACAGCCTCCCGACTAGCACCGACCCCCTCCGACCAATATGCGCTGCTCCTCCTTTATTATCATTCGAGCTACGGATATCTGCGACCTTTCTTTCCTCCTCCTTCCCTCGGCACGGCGTCATTCGTACGGAGCACGAGCATTTCATTTTAATCCGAGCATTTAGGAGCGATTGAGAGAGGGATTGAGAGCGTACGAGTGTCGAGTGCAACTAGCGAGAGCCGATGCGTGCACTGATTTAATATTTTTCTCGCTATCTATCTATCTCTCTCTCTCTCTCTCTCTCTCTCTCTCTTTCTCTCTCTCTCTCTCTCTTACTCACTCTTTATTCTCTCCTTTTATCGCTTATAATTCGAGAGATGCAATAATTTTAGTGCTGAAATTCAGGGCCGACGGAATTGTTATTCTATTAAACAATGGCAATTATGCAGTGTCACATTTCCTGGCATTGTACAACAATTTTCGTATTAAAGACAATCTTTTTTTTCTCCAATTTTTTTTTTGTTTTTTGTTTGACTTTTTTTTTTTATTTTTTTTTTTTTTGTTTTTTACGCAAAGAAAGATTTACATTCTATATTTACTTTATTTTCTTGCATAAATCATACGCGCTGCTTATTCGAATTCCTTTTCATAATCATATTATTGTGTCTTATATTTTCAACTTATTACTTAGTTCAATGAGACCATTAACGTCATATAAATATTTCCAAGTTAATGTTCGTGCAAAGCGAGATAAGCTGTATTCGGATTACTTTACTTTATATATGTCGAATGATGATTTTTTGTTTTAATTTCTGTTTATGTTTTTGTTTTTGTTTTTTTTTTTTTGTTTTTTTGTTTTGTTTTGTTTTTTTTTTATTTTCAAAAAACGATCATTACACGTATAAATCTTTTATAAGATTTATTAACTTTCTTGTCGATTGTCTTAAAAGTCGTGCAACATGTAATTTCCAATGCAATTTATCACGATAGTTATTAAGATAATTCACACTGCGCTACATATGCACGTAAATGGTGATATTAAAAACATAGTAAAATATTTATGATAAATTATAATTATATGTAAAAATCATGGAGCGAATTATTAAAATTTATTAATAAATTACAGAGTCGCAATCTTTCTTTCCATCGACAAATATTCAATTTAAAGTACAAATATACTTCGATAATCAGAGGACGCGTTTAATTAACTAATTTGTTGCTTGGGAAATTAAATTATCCTGTCGTTAAATTGTATGATAAGGACACTAGCAGTGCTTAAGAGTTGACAATTTTCGTACAATCGTGCACACGGTTAACGAATTCAATAGTTTAGTTTCTTGTGACGAGCGACGTGTTAAATAATGTCTTTGTGTATACTCACTTACATAATTGCCATTATGGCGGCAATAAATTAAGTACTCGAACATCCTAATGAAATGTCATTACCTTAATTTTTATATAAAGGTCGAGTGATAAAGCATTTTCAATAGGCATAATATTTGCAACGTAAACGGCTTATTAATAAGACTCTCTCGCCTACTCAACCTACGACTAATTGACTTGATAAAAGAGAAGAAAAAAAAACATTCGAAGGCCAAACGTGATGAAATATTATCTCAAAGACTAGAAGAAAGCGTTCCCTGTACCACGATATTGTTATTTACCAAATTTTAATCCCCTTGCCACACGCGTTGTATAATTACATCAGCCATTGTCGTTCTTATTCGCCCAATCAATTCGTCTAATTTCTCCTAATCTACAAATTTCAGGATTACGCGGACGACGAGAACGAGGACGAGAACGGGAGCTCGAACAAAACGACGGCCAATTCCATCGGTACGGCATCGCGCACAACGCCGAGCACAACGACAACCACGACTACGACGACGACGTCAACGACGACGTCGACGACTGCCCGGGCCCCCGTAGCCAATAACCACTTTGAGCGCAAGGAGCCGAGAAGCTACGACAACTACTCCAACGGCTATCAGTCCAAGAGCGAGTACCCGGCGATGTCCGCTCACAGCGCCCTAAAGTGGCAATACCTGGGAACGCGGGAGACTGTAAAGGAGACTCGCAACAGCATGACGCCCTTCGCCAGAAACAGCAAGTGTAAGTTAAGCGATCCGCGAAGGGCCGACGACGGTCAATGATGACCATCCGATAAGCGCGGCTGACTTCTCGGGCTCGTTAACGCGCACTTTTCTTAGACTGCCGATAGTGAAAGCCCGGTCACTCGGTGCACGTCACCGTTGAATTCATTACCCAGATGATAAATGAAGATTCGGTCCTTCATCCGCGCTGCATCGGTGAGTCTGGCGATATCGGTTTTCAACTCTGCAGCAGCCGCCGGCTCTTCTCCGACTCTATCATTATCAGCATAATAAACAAGCAAGGAGAAAGTGAAGCGCGAATAAATATTTTAATTATTTACGATATCGACTCTTTTATTATATCGCGGCACTAGATAACTCAGCTTGGGCGACATTTTATCCAAATATTTTCTCCTTTTCTCTCCACTTTTTTTGAAAGACTGAGGAGAGCTACATTTCATCGATTTCGCCAAATGCTTTCTCCTGATGGATTATCCCCTCGACTCTTTCAAATGCTGGATTAATTAGTCGAAACTTGTAGTTAACGATTGTCATTGTCGAATAATTCAAATGAAATTTGCCGCGCAATGACGTATGCGTTTACCTACATTTAGAATTCAATTCTCCTCTCTTTCTTTCAACGATAATTTCGATCGCTTTAAATTGCTATTTAATTATCGTTATTGTTCATTCGCCCTTACCTTCGTTGTTCTCGTTAATATTTCCGTCTCTGTCAAAAAGAAAAAAAAAAAAAAAAAGAAAAAAAATTTAATGTTTTCAGATGAAGATTTCTGACCCTTTTTGTGCAGCCTAATGTGTCCTATCAAATGCAAACTTTCACTATAATTCATGTTCCCGTGGTATTTTCAAAATATATTACGAATTTAAAATAATGATATGAAAAACTTCACTCGTACACGAGTTGAATGTTGATGCTTAACTTTCTTTTATCGTGGTTAGAAATATGATTGTTTTTTTTTTTTTTTTTTTTTTTCACAGAATCTATAGATTGGATGGATGCATGCATAATTTTGTACAAAATTACAAATACTTGACAATACTTTTTATAAATAATATCATTAAAGGATATTAATGCAGACCTTAAGGCATATATTACGTATATATTATTAAACATAACACTTAATATCTACATTTTTAGAAAATAATCTTAATGAAATATATTTATATTATTTAATAATAAATCTATCATATTCACATTTGCTTTACTATTTTCGAAATTGCTAATGCGTGGATGATATTGGCAAAGATATTGTTAAAAAAAAAAAAAAAAAAAAAAAAAAAAAAATTTTTCCTACAAGTGTATCTTATAGTTGCAATTTTACTGTCTTAATTATTACTCATTATAATAAAATATTTATTATTTTTCATAACATGAAGCTAATTATTAAATCGTATTTTAAAATTTTTTTTGGAAACAAAAAGTGAAATAAGTGACTTTATTAAAAGTCTATGTCACATTCATTATCTTTTGTTGACTGGCTTTTCAATATTAAACGATGGCTTCTCTATTGTTAAAGACGATGATTTACACTTGGGCCAAAGATTGATAAGAAAAAAAAAATTATATAAATAATAATGCAAATGTTTTTAAATTCGGAGAAAATTGAGCTCAAAGCATGCTCTTGCGCTACAATAAAAGTAATATTTTGAAAAGCGGCGAAAAATTAATCAATATTAACTTCAAGGCTATCGAAACCTTAATAATTTATCTCTCAATAATCAACGACGAGATAGTGCTTTATATCTTTTATCATTCTTTATATCTCATGCAAATCGCAGGTAATTGAACACATAATAAATACGGCGTTTTATGCTGGCTTTAAACACTGTTAATGCGTATTACGAAGACATATTTGCATATAATGAGTCGAGGCTCAAAACCTTAAGAAATAACGAACGCCGAATTATAGCGTTTGCACTGGATTTTAATTGAAGAGGCAATCGCATCCACCTGCATGGTTTTTAATTATCGTAAACAAAGTTCTGCGACTGAGCAAAGTGTCGGGCTGATAATGAAGAGTCGCGTTTCTCCAAGAAGGCGTAACTCAAACACTTTCTCATTAATTGCCTAATCACATACGTTAAAATTCTCGGTTTGGTGGTCCGCGTTAAAATTCGCGCCGCGCGAAATCGATGTCGGACACGTTCCCCATGGCCCGACCATTAGTCGCACGCGGATCCTTGCGTATTACGTCTACGACCTAACGGAACTGGTTTTCCTTGAAACGTCTTTGTTACTCTCGAGCACAATCCCATGTGCTCGATGTCTGCCCGCTTTTCGACTTGGCCGCAGCGTAGCGACCGTGGCGGCTAGGCGTGGGACGCGGGGAGGAGTGAGAGAAACGAAAAATTTTGTGGGATTAAATACAAGTGCCGTGCTCGTTGAATGATCGGTTGCACTTTGATCGTACGCGAAACGGCGAGAGGAATATGAAGTGTCAATTTTACGTGCTTTGCTGCTGACGTTCAGTAATCATTGGATACTGCGACTTCTTAATTCAATGTTGGTTGGAGATTTTTTTCTTTTCATGAACTTTGGATGCTTTAAACATTCGTCAGTGTGTTAAATTTTGGTGCTTCTACGAGACATTTCCATTAAACGGCGTGGAGCTGTAAATTTTCTAGTTAATAACTTAATAAATGTAAAAAAAAAAAAATGTCAAAGCTCCGATAGTTGGATTAAAGATCGATTTGAAACACTTTTGACTTTTCCCAGACATTTCAGTTTGCCCATTCTTTCAGCGATGCATTAAAGCTCTGCGATAAACTGTATTTGACGCATTTAGCTCGAATTGTGTCAGAAATTATTTAAATAATAGCTACAAGTAACCATATTTTTATCGACTAAATATTCGATCGCCGCCTCGCAAATAATAAATACAAAGAAATAACGGACAATTATTACTCACGTTTATGTTTCTCTGCGCTTCAATTAGGATTTCTCCTATACATTTTTCTTATTTCGCTGACTATACTGAGCCAAGGTCGCATCTTTTGAAGTTACAAAATGCCCGACCCTAATAATACACCTCGTTTTATTGGTGCAAATTTTAAAAATGTTTTAAAAAATATTCAATTTCATTTTTATGAAACTTCGGCCTTCACTTTTTATGGAAGCACATCATGCACTATTACACTCAGGGTGCTCTTACATAGTCGATCTATCATCCCATCCCATCCCTCCCTCCCCCCCCCCTCCCCCCATCCCAAAAGAAACCAATATTATTTTTCAATTTATTCTTTAATATCTCGTATTTTTAATAATTTAATTCCTAATTTTAACGATATCTTGTGCATTTTGCAATATATATATATATATATATATATATATATATATATATATAATGATAGTCCATACGACAATATTTGTTGATTTTAAATGGCAACAGTTATTGTCGATAATTTATTGACCTCGACGATTAATCTGTGCGCAGCTTATTTTGCAAGATATCCAAAAACAATAAAGTGTAAAAGTATTTGTAATTAAATTTTGACAAAAGTGACGGTACGTTTGGATTTTCGTTAAATCTTCATTCGCTAAAATATAATACTATTATTTGCTTTCTAACTAATATCTTTAACAAATGCCGAGGACATTTACTTTTTTTAATCATGCACAGTTGTTAATTTAGTATTTCATTGATTTATTAGAATTTATTTCAGTCAACGCGATGTTGCTTCCTTGAGTCGCTTGTTTATGGATATTTTAGCACCTTCCTTGCCCCAAGATCACAGAAACCGATATTATTTATAGTTTTCGCGTTATTATACTTGAGCTAAGCGTAGAAATATAAAATTTACACCTCTATAAATAAGATCGATCTTAAAGGGAAGTATGGACATTACAAATATAAATTAAAATTAAAAATGAATGCTGGCTTTAAGTCAATAAGCAAATATTCAAATATAATGAAATTGATTTAATAAACGAGTCTTACATTCTCGATAATAGATATGTGAATGCCATATACATCTACCACTAACAAAAATTGTTGAATATTATTCAAGCGAATTTAAATTATTAAATTTATGTTTGTTTTAGAAAAAAAAAGAAGAAAAAAAAACAAAAAACAAATATCAAATATGATCATCATATTATTTTATTAATAGTTACGATTAATGATGGTCTCATTCTCATTATTTTTCTGTTTCTATTTTCATGTATTCTTCCTTCATTTAACAAATGATATATATAATATAATATGCTTATAAATATACAAATAATATAATTTAAATTACTTGTAATGAGGGCAAATGCTTATATGAAATAAAACAATTGAACAATACATTGGAATTTCTAATCTTTTTTAAATGTTTTTTCAAATAAATATCCTATAAAGCTAGTTATTTTAATGTGCAGATTAATAAGCATACAAAAATAAGTAATAAGATATTATTATTAAACGTTTTAATGTGAAATGTATTAATGAAATATAAAAATTATACGAACTTGTAAAAGATATTTTCCTCATAATATTCGGCACATTGTACTCTCTTAAATAATTTAGTATGAAATTATTAATCTTGAATTGTTAAACAAAACAGGTTATTAAAGCATAGCATTTCAAATTTTCTAAACAATACATGCATTACCTTTAGCAAATAATATATAATATTATTTAAATAACAATGATGAGGATGCGATTCCGTAGGTAGGTGATTGTGTAAGGGTCCAAGTCATTGCTCTTAAGTTGATACGCGTAAAAGCATATATAAGCATGTTGCCGATGAAAAAAGAAAAGCCGATAACTAATGCGTGAATGTCGTATAAGTAAAGCTAAGGACTGAACGATTTGGAAAAGAAATTGGCCCTGTAGACGTGCAAATCCAATTGCAAGTCGTCCAAGTACAATTCTCATCAATCTGTTTCAGCGGCGGAGATGAACTTAGCGCACAGTCACGCATTGCGCGTCGCAAAGGAGGGCAGCTGCCAGTGGCCGCGTGCGCGGGTCATCCCCGTGCGCGACGTCTACCCCAACTCCACGGCCACCTACATTCCCCACTGCGCGATCCTGCACAGATGCTCGGACGACACTGGTTGCTGCAGGTCGGAGACGCTCACCTGCGAGGCCAAACACAGCCAACGGGTCGAGCTTTACTTTTACGTAAGTAGAAGTGTGACGAACATACACGCTCAGACACGCACATTATACTTGAGGAGCCTGCGCAGCTTGACCATAGGATGGCTTTGGCCATGGGATTTGCCGATGGCATTGATGCTCGATCTACTAAATCTGCGATAATACCCCGGAGGCGTTGGCTACTAGGGGATGGGATATTCGGTTATTAACAGGGTAGATTACAAGCGGTCGATATTAATGGATAAAACTTGGTATTCGATAACGACAGAGATAAAGCGATTGATTTCATTTTAATTATAATTTTAACGACCAAACGACTGCGTTTTTGTCAATTGTTGAAGCTTTCTCTGTATTCAATTGCCCACTACAATATGCAGGCTCCTAATTATTTTGATGATTGGGGGGGGGGGTGAAGTATTTTGATGAAACTTAGATGCCTCGTATAGAAACTAATCGAAATAGTTAGTTTAAAAGGCTTTCATACGCTCACTTAGAATCTTTGTTCATAGAATAAGGTAGAGGAAGATCATTATGTTAAATAGAAATGAGTATGCTTTATGATTATATTATCAAGTTTTGAAATTACTTGGAAGAATTATGAAAAATGTTGTGATGATAGGAACGTTCGGGAAATGTACGGACCTACGAAGCACAAAAGTTACAAAACTTACTAGATGAAATTCACGGAAAAAAAAAAAAAAAAAAAATACTTTCCACGTTTGCCAATTATTGGAAATGGATTAGGCATTTATTAATACTTTAAATTCTTCGATATGTAAACGCAAAATTACAAATACCATTTTTTTTTTTTTTTAATAATTTCAGATCGCTTGACAATCTTCACGAAAATGACTTATTATTCATAAAAAATCTTAAAAATTTGGATAGTGAAGAAACGAGCAAAGTTTTTCAAATTCATATTATACAGACGGCCAATAATAACTATAATATTAAGTGTTTAACTTTTTAGTATTTAAATGTTCATTACGATAAATTTTGAATTACCATGTTAATGTAATCCTAGCGTATAATCAATCAGCAGATTTTTATTTCACAATTAATTAAATTTACATAAATAAATTAATAGTGTCCTTTCGAACAAAGAAAATATCGCTTATTTGTAAGATAACCGTATGCCCGTTGTTTATCTTTATGGATTTTAATATCTTTGATGCGGGTAATTAATGAATAAGTTTACGATGCATTAATGAAAAGGAAAGTTTTCAATAACAAAGGCAAATGAAATATTATACGTTCGTGTAAATAAAAGCAACGACAAAAATTTTAAATAATTAACTTAAAATGCCGATTATAATAATAGTAATTGAAGAATGAAATCGTCGTAATTGTGAAAACAATGGAAAAGAGTTTAAATTGCATCGTTAATATTTGTTTATATAATTTGAGAATACATGTATTACAGTCTACTTAATGAGGATTTGTGCATTATAAATTTATCTTAAATTATTATGGCTTACGAATTATAATTATCTGTTGTTGTTGAAATAATTTCTATGACTTATCATTGTGAGATGTTTAATTTTTCTTTAATATAATTGTCTTTAACGGATAAAAGAGACGGTTAACGGATTTATAGCTGGATACATACCCCATTTAAGATAAATTAAATCTGAAACGATAACGAATTCATTAAGACATTATTATTATCTGACATCTAATAAATTATTGACAAACGTAGAAAAAATTATTTTTCATCGATGACTTCCCAGCGTACAATTCGTGTAATGCCAACGTCATTGTGATGCATAATCGATTGATGAAACCGTGAGAACTCTCAATTTTAATATCTTTAATAACTTGTGCGACTGTTTGAAAAAAAAAAAAAAAGAAGAAAAAAACACTTATCGCTACTATCATTCAGCCATTTTACAAATTGCCATGAATAGCTTCCTTAGAGTGTCCAGAGGGCAGCAATTTTTACTTATCCATTATCTAATAGAGTATAAAAGCGATAAAGCGAAATCGCACGCTCGAGAGTCCATCGCTTTCAATTAGTATAAATACATAATTCATAAAAATAACGCTGCAACGGCGAAGGCAAAGAGTCGATTAGCGAGAACGACCGACGACTGCCGAATGAGCCCGAACGAAGCCGCGGACCTTCGTAGCGTCAGCGTAATGTCGGCGGCGGCTACAAGGGTGGTTAAAGCTGATAAAAACAAAGTTGAGACTCGATTAATGTCGGAGTCTGCGGGCTGGCGTGGCTCTCCGTATCCGAATGACGCTCCTGATCTAAGATCGAAGAAGGACCTCCCAGAAATCGGGCTCTCGACTTGGGTTCTCGAATGGCTTAGAGGAGGATAGATCCTGCGTAGCCGTCGGGGGATCTGATCTTACATCGCTCGCTAACACATCAAATGCCTCTCGTGATTCCTCGAAATATTCTCGTTACATTAATACGAGTATCGATGCGCCCAGGCAACCTTCATCGCTCTCCTTCCACCCCACTACCCCCTTGAACCGCCCACCTCCCGCCAACTTCACACCTCGCACCGGCGCCGCTCACGCAATCAGTTTCCGAACGTTCCCTCGGCCATCGCTTTTTCATCAACATTTCCTTTTCAGCAGCGGCCATGCCCATCGCACATATTCCGAGAATTTTACTCCGAGATTGTATAATGTGGCATTTTTATGCGTCCACGCTCGATCACACGTTATATGCATCTTTTATGCCGGTCAAACCGTTCGACTGACACCATTTTAATGGTAATCGAATTTTAAAAATATATGAATACTACTTTATTCCATTTACGAGATTACGCAAAAAAGTGCCGGAGTACATATATATATATATATAGCTATGGCCGCACATTGGCGTCCTCTTATCTCATAAAATTTTTACTCTTACACGTTCTTTTTATATAAAAAGTAGCACTCGCTACCATAAAAAAAAACTATATACCATAGACTATATATAGTTGCATGCTGTATTTCAGCAGTGACTTTCTTATTCGACATTGCTTTATTGGATTTACGAACTCGTGTAAATTAATGTAAATTTATCAAGTATTTCTTGAAATTGTGCCGAATTATAATTTTATTGGGCAAACGACATTAAGATTCGTACCCCTTGATCTACAAATGATTGAGTTGAAACAAAAACAAAAAAAAATAAGTTTATAATGTTTGGAAAAATGTTAAGTATTTGGATGGCCTAAGTAAAAGAGATTTTTTTTTTTTTCATTAAAATGTTAGATATATTAACGTATGACTTAAAATTAATTTGTCAAAAAATTTTCATTTATTTTGTCTCGTTTCTTATGTGAGACGCGAGCATTTATACTCGAGACATGCGATACTGAGATACAATGATGATAATGAACATAAATAAATAAATAAAATATCCAATAATGAAAACTAAATCAATACGCCCCATTTACGTGCGTAATTTTAGATTTAATTTATTTAGTAATTTAAAAAATGATGTATATAAATATTCCATTACTTACATTCATCTTCTACTTCTTTTTCTTCTTCTTCTTCTTCTTTAAAACTATTGATATTTACGGCTAGAATAAGTCACGTATTGTCATGGAATCTAAAAACTCTCGACTCGAAATTTCTTAATTGTCATAATACAAAATAATGAAGCGATATGTATCGTTTCGATAATTAAAATTACGCCATTGAAAAGATGATAAAAAAAGAAACAAGAAAGAAATAAAGAAGAAAGGAAATAAATGATGGATAGTTGGAAAATAAAATCCAATGTTTTTGTAGAGAAAATAATCCATCGTAAAATACACGAGCTTTTCGCGGTTGAACAATTATTCAAAGTGCTTTTTCAGTAGTAAAGCACTGCTTCGCTAGGATTGTGGCGATAAAATTAATTGAGATAATCGTTGAAAGAGACAGCAAGAGATAGTGCACTCATCGACAGCATAGCCCATTCGCTCCTCACGCGCGATTTAATAATCGTTCTTTTTCACCAAAGCAGTGCAAATTCATGCTCGAGCCATGCTCCAGACATATTCTATCCTTAGGAGAATTAAAAGCACAGATACAGGGACGGTATTTTCTAATTCGGGTGCATGTCATAACCTAACATTGACAACGGCTCGTTACGAACTTTCAGCCGTGTAGTATAAAGTTAATGTATCAGCTCGCACGTACAGGCCATTGTAGCACGAAAAAATGGCATCGAAAATATTTTACAATATTTAACATCAAAGGATTTATATTTTCAACAAGATAATCAAGTGCTTCGTTTCTCAGCTCGTAAAGCATTATGAAATTATGAAAAAACAATAGAGCGAACGAAACTCTGCGATTATAATTGAAGGTTGCTCTTGCTACAAAGGAAGCAGCTCTTGTTATAAATATAATAAAGCCATTTTATACGATTAAACAGAAGCTTGTGCTTTCAGTCTATTTTGAAAATTTCTAATGAATAATTATAGACAATAATAGACAATGTGCAATAATCTTTATAGTATTCATTACTTTACTCACTAGGTATATTGCCTCATACGACGATTTTAATATCATTAATTGGTAATTATATATTATGCAAGAGACCGATAAGTTTAAATTATATTATATACGTGAAGATCGGCATTTACTTTGTAACTTGGTCGTCTAAATTAAAAGAATTAGATTCGTTCATTAGGGCCTTTTAGTTTATTGAACTACGTGTACTAATGAACATACCATAAAACTCCTTAACGAAATAGTCTTATTTCATTATAATTCATTTTATTGATAATATGGTGTAATCGTATTAATTGTTAGCAAATGTTATTTAAGGTGTAAGGTGAAAATCCAGTTTTAACAGCACTGCTTATTGATTAATTAATGTAAAATTAAAACAATGGGATTTTCAAATGTAGGTGCATAACTTATTTCGACTCCTAATCATAATCCAACACGAGCGATAGAGGACAAATTTTAAACGTATCGATGCATTCGACAAAAAAACAAAACTGGTGTTCGCGAAAAGTTTCTGACGCAATCGCATGGGAACAGCGGATTACTCTGTAGTCGCACCGAGCGACATCACTCGGCGGCGAGTCTCCATCGAGATTCAAGAGTCCAGATGCAAATGGGCAAAAAGTAACGATACGCAGTAAATATCGAGGATTTATCATCTCTCGTCGCAACACCGACAGAACATGCAAAAGCACTTCCGTACATGGCTGACG